TATGAATCAAGGTTTCGAACCGTTGGGTTTAGTAGTTCGGTTCGTTCCGGTTTTTAGTTTGAAATTTTATAAAGGTTTTGTTCCATTCCGGGATTTTGAGGAAATTTATATCGGTCCATTTCGGTTTAGAATTTATAATTGTTCTTTTTAGTTCTTTCCGGTTTTATAAATTGATTTTTTAAAAAAATTAATCATATAATTTAACATCTAAATTGTAAAACTAGCTATTATTTTTAACTTTCCATGTAAGACCATTTAATATAAACACATAAATAAAATAAAAGTACAAAAACAATTTAGCTTATTTAAATCGAAGATTTATGATAAGATTTTTTATTATTTTAAGATTAAAAAGAACAAAAAAACAGATTAGAAGAATATTGAAAATATATAATTTTCCACTTAATAAAACAAATATTATTATAAAAACAAATTAAGAAATAATATATTAAACTTGTAAATTAAAAAAATAGTTTTGTGAGAAGATGATTTCTTATCTAATTAAATAGTAATTTGCCTAACTCTATTAAAATATAAAGTAAAAAACAATAAACTTGGTATTGATTGATATGGGCGATCGTATAAAAAAATTTTAATTTGGAAGGAAATCACGAATTTAAATTTTTTCCAAGGAAAATTAAAATTTAGATTAATAATTTAAAATTAATTATTTTTTAAAACCGGTATGAATTGGGTTAACCGCTTCAAAATTTTTTGTAACAGTTTAGTTCGCTTTTTTAATATTTTATAATGGTTCGGATAATAACTGTTCTTTCCGGTTTCGTGATTGTTCGAAACCCTGATATGAAATATTACAAAATTCTAGCAATTATTATTTTTATTTTATATTTGTATAATGATGTGATATCAGCTGAATAAATTTTTTAGCTCACTTCGAAGTTTAAATTTTGAGAATAGAATCCTATATTAAGCATTATGCACACTTTACATAAGTAGAATAAAAAATTTATCTGTGTCTAATTACGTTATTAGGTGATGTGTTTGTATTCAGGTCCATTTTTAGTAACTTCGCTAATTTGTGTAATTATTTATAATAAAAAGGGTTGGCAAGTAAGTTAATTGAAGAATAAAGGAAAATTGTTTCGCGATTTGATTAAAGCAAAATTTGATGGCCCCCAAATTTTTCAAATATTTTGATATATTCCCTTTTATAAGATTAATAAGTTAGCTATTTAATTTTAAGCTTTACTTTTGGGTTCAGTTTAATTTTTTTATCTTTTATCTCAAGTAAATAATTTATATAATATATTATCAAGGTAATCGTCGTTTATATATACTCTTTATAATCGAATCGTACATTATAGTTAATATGATTATTCAATTTACTATGGCCTTTAAAAATTACTTATCCATTAAATAATAATATAAACTGTATATTATTCAAATATCAATGAAGGATATAACATTTCCTAATTCCTTTCTAATAAGTACGAGTTTGGCATATACATAAATTTTTAGCACCGAGCTTCGAGCGCTCAGTAAATAATAAATTATAAGTCGCTAGATACTAACTTAAGATCTAAACCCTAGTAAATAGCATTTAAAGCTGAACTTATAAAATGAAACCGATATTTATTTAGAGATTTACCGCTATCCATTATAATCGGGCTACCTTTAGTAACGGTTGTTTACATATTAACAAATGTCGCCTATTTTGCCGTTTTAACTCCGATTCAAATGCAATCTTCCGTAGCTGTTGCCTTTGTAAAAACCCATCTTTTTAAACTTAAAAAATTTTGTATTTCTATGCTTTTTAAGGCAATTTTAAATAATTTTTTAAATGATAGACTTTTAAAATGTTTATTTTTATCATTCATTATACCTAACAATATTTTAAGCATTTTTAAAAGTGGAGTAAGAATAAGAATCCATTGGCCGAATTATTATAAACTATTTTATATATTATTGTACTTTTTTAATATATCATTTTTTTGTTATAGGACTATATGCAAATCCTATTCCCAAAAATTTCATGGTTAATGCCAATTTTAGTGTCTTTATCAGCATTAGGAAGTGTCAACGCAATTTTATTTACTTCGGGCAGGTTTTGATATACAATTCAAAAATACATTATATTTCTTCAAAATACAGAATAGCTTATGCCGGAGCTAGGAATAATCAACTTCCGGAAATATTCGCTATGATCCACATAAAACATTGTACTCCTGTTCCATCTATTATATTGCTAGTATGCATAACATGATTTTAGAAATTTATTATAATACGATCAAAAAGAACTAGGGCGCAAATTAAATTTATAAAAAAAATAAAATATAATTTAGTTAATTTCCATTCAAACAAGCTGAAATAAAGTTAAGAAATATGAATTGTCCCGACTAAATCCTGTTCCTTGGGACATGGATCAGTCTCTGGCCTGGGTTAACAACCCGTTTACCCAATTCATTAAATTTTTTTTATCTAAAACATCAAAATAGAAAAATGAAATGTTCGTTTATTCAAAAATTATCTGACGGCGTCACCATTTTTGGTAAGCTCGGGTTCTAGTAAAATTTAAAAATCAAGTTCAACCAGAGAGGGTTATTTGGGCCAGAAGTCCGAACCCGAAAGTTTAGTCAACAGGCCTGAAATAGGCCGTGTGTGTTTTTTAAATTGTCCACCTGTTCATTTATTAAAAAAATATATCCCACTCTCGCCGGCCCATTTTAAATGGTTGGTTTGGCTATATATCCTTTTTTAATTAATATATCCTTTACTTAAAAAATATGCAATATTATGAAATTAAAAAAATTAATTTTTAATAAATATAAACCAGTCTTACTCATTCCACCCGTAAAAATTTTAAAATTAAGCCACCCGCCAGGTAAATAAATATTTTGAACCAGCCCGCGCAATGTTTAATTTTTAACCCACTGATTATTACAGCTGGTATAAATAAAATTATTTGTAAGAAAACACATTTTGAAAACTCTATAAAGGCTAATAAATTATTTTAAATATAGATTTTTACTTTAAAAAAAAATTGACAACAAATTGTATAAAAAAAATGTTATAAAATTAAATAAATGATATAAAAATTGTACTAAAATGATGAAATATATTTCATGTTGTAGATCAAATAATCTGACAAAAAATGATATATTAGGTTCCCGAAGAAAATTGTAATTTTACTTTTAAATAATAATATATATTAACATAAATGACAAAAAAATGTTTGAAAAAGTTCCGGTTGAGGGTTTAAAATTATTTCGGTCTAGATCCTTAACTTCATATTCATAGTAACTATACCGTGATTACGACATCGAAATATTCTTTAAAAAATATATAGTAACTACTATAGTCGATATCTAGAGTTTTAAAATTCGGCTAAAAATCTTAATTAGAAAATAAATAATAATCCAACATAACCGATTTGTTGGCGCATGTCAAAATGCCAGATACTTTTTATTTTACTCTTAAAATTTGCGACTATACAAAAAAATAGTTTGTTAATGACTTCATTTTTTTATTTTGTCATCTCAAAAAATATTTATAAATAAATGTCCAAAGGCACTGTATTTGTAAACAGATTACCATTAAGTTAATAATTAAATATTATTCATGGTTAATTAATACCATATAGGAAATCTAATATTTGGGAACAGGAGTAAAAAACGGGAAAACATTTTAAGAGGCTATATAATTTTCGGCGAGTTTTTATATCCTCACGATTAACGAAATTCTCAGTATCCATTTAAAGGCCGGTCAGGGAGTGTAATTCATTTTTTGGTTATGCCCAGATTTTAATATTTGTTCATTTAAGAACTTTTTAATAATTTTTTTATCTTAAATTTTAAGACTTTTATATCAATGATATTTTTAACTGCGCGCGATATAACAACGTTGATTAGCTACTGCAATTTTATGCTATTTTTGTTCGTTGGAATATGTATTGGATGTATAATATATTTACGCTTCAAACGTCCAGAAATGATTCGGCCAATTAAGGTAAAAAAATAAATGATTAATATATGTCAAAAAACTTCGAATGTTCTCATTTTTTCACTCGTTTTTATCAGGTTTGAAATCTGATGATCCTCTAATTTCGAAAAAAATAATAATGAAGCATAGTTAGCTAAGAGAGTATTTTTATCCCAAGAAAATAAATTAAATAATTCAATATCAGATAATTCATATTGAGGTTACAGAAAAAGGTATCCCTAGAAAAGTAACTATCTATAAATTTTATTATTATTATCTCATTAAAGCTAAATATAGGTCTACACATAATATTTCTGGTAATCAGCCTCTTTTTCGTGATAGTTCCAATGATAAATGACCCGATAGATATGCTTATAGGTACATCGATGGTATTATCAGGTATATAAAGCTTCATATGTTAAAATTTTGGGTTATCCTTAACAATTATCATAGCGTTATACCCATTTTAAAAATTATAAACTATAAAAATCTCACTGTTGCCAAATTAATTCATAAAATTATTATTAAATATATTATTTGCACCTCTAGGTATACCGGTATTCTATATTGCGTTTCGAGCGAATATAAAAATTTACAAATACGCATCCATTGGAAGTTTATTTCAATTAAACATTTGGTTATCTATTAAAATATTTTAAATTAGGGGAAATAGAGCTGATCGTGCAAAAAATTTTGATGGTTATACCCTCAGATAAAGATTTATAAAAACGTATAAGTGAAAATTCGTTAAAAGCCTATGAAAGTATGCCGAAAAAAATATTCATATCTCTATAATAGTATTAAGGCGATTATATTATTTTTATGTTAAATATTATGGAAGCTTCATCAATAAATGTTATCTTAAAGCTTTACCTATAAATTTACTCTCTAGATTCTTTCTTAGGCGTTCATTATTATTTTCGACATTTTACTCATAATTAAAAATAATTATGATGTGGTAATATTGAAGGATTATATTTAAATGAAGAGATCATATAATGTCCACGATTATCTTTTATAATATATATATATATATACACCCTATATATTATGGCAAGAATGGTACAATTCACATGATTTTTCTTAGTTTATAAATAATATATACATTAAATTAATTCATAACGACAGTATCTTTGGTTTCCTTCAATTTTAACATCTCCAATTGTTGTGAATTGAGTAAAGAGATACCTAATTGATCAGCCTGCATTAATTTTTTTAGAATAAAATACATAATCATCTGTTTCAGCGGAGGCAAGAAATTTTTATTTGTGTACAAGCGCAAATTTAAATTAGATTTAGTTCAGCACACTTATACCTTTTCTAAAGAGTTAGAGGTAGGAAGGAGAAAGAAAATTTCGATCCGGAAAAATTGTGCAATATATATATGAGCCGAGCCGAAATTTTTTAAAGCTTAGAATTCTTTCATAAAAAGTTATTACGGGCTGGAAAACTTGTACTTTTCAAAAACATGCCCGAGTTGACTTTCTAATACATATTGAGCTAAAATATAATTTTGATTTATTAAAGGTTACTTGAGAAAGAGGTAACGCCATCAGCTTTAAAAACTTTTTACTTATGGATATTGCCTCATCGATTGCAAGATCGGTAACAGATTCAGATATGTATTCTTGTATCCAAGTTGGCAATTTTGAACGCTTGTCCATCCTTGAAAATCTCTTCATTTATTATATTTTATAATGTCTGAATTATATTTAGAGTTATTCTTTATCAGTATTATTTACTTTTGCAAATCACATTTAAACTATAAAAAAAATGTAGAATTGTAGAGGTATTACTTTTTAAAAGTAGCTAAATCGTCCGGTAAAATTAATTTTCGTTATAAAATGCTCAATGTTCATCAATTTAATAACGTACCCAAATTATCTAGCATCTCTAAACAGTCCCAACAACTTAAAATACCTCTTTCTATTTACCTATACAATATTATAAAATCATAAATTTTCACCTTATCTGCCAAGATCATTATTCCGTAATCATTTTTGCCTCTCAGGGCACGGCCCAGGCATTGAGCAGCTTGTCTCATGGCATCGAATGTCAAAAAATCGGATTCCCTGATGCCAAAATTTTGCCGAAGGTAATCGAGTCTAGCTCTCAAAACCTTGCTTTGCGTATACATATATGGAACTCCGAACACTACCACAGCCCTACCGAAATGGTGGTCGAAATCTATTCCCTGACATTATTATCAACTTTTGTTAATGAGGTGATTTGGATTATTATATTAGTAATAATACATATTTATCAAAGTTTTTTAAAAAAAGAAAAAGGAACCAATTTTAATACTTCGTTTTCCTATTGTTTTTAAATTTGCGGGTAAATTATTTTAAAACGCAGATAAAAATTCATCAAAGAATTGAGAATATTCTGATCTAATACCTATAATAATTTATTATTTTGAATAATATAAGAAGGTAAATCATTAATATATGTTCCATAGACCGTTTAAAGGCTATAATAAATAAATAAAAATATTTGTAATACTGCCTAAGCCATTATGTGAAATTTGTTAGGGTCTCCTCAGGGTGGCGATACTATCCTCGTATTTTTAAACATATTTTAACTGAAATTTCGAGATACAACGAGAATAATTAATGCCTAACTGGATCTTCTTAAAGCCACCGAGTTTTTTAAGCTTTTGAAATTTAAGGGGCTCTTCTTGTCTCTGTATAAAGAGCTATTAGTTTTTATCAGATTTGGCCACGTCAGTTTGCTTAAAGGTAGATCAATAAATCAAACAAATGGTGTTTTACAGCCTTTAATGATATACCAGGTAGGTCTTAAATAATTTGAATCAGTAATAATGAAGGACTGTCAATAATCAAAATCAATTCATTATTGCCTTAATGGACTATAGAAAAATATGAAAATATATTAGTAGGTGCAAATTCTACGAATTAAAAAATGTTAATTGATAAAATCGTATTTTTTTTAGCTATCCTATCTAATATAATTAGAAAAAGACAATTGTCTGCCAGACCTTCATATTTGTTACGAGGAAAGAAAATTAAATTTATTTCGTAGTAAGTGAATAAGGAGTATAAAATAATAATCATAAGAAGCAATAATTGCCTATGTAATTTGAAGGAATTTTAAAATTGTACATGATTCAGAGCCACTTTCGAATTCATTATGACGCATTTCCATGCAAGTTTTATGTTAATTAACTACTAAAATAGTCAACGGAAAAAATGACCATATGTGGCAGACATCCAGATTAAAAATCTAGTCGGAATAAAATTTATTTTGTACAAAGCCCATCATAATAAAATTGAACTATTTTCTTATATGCCAAAATCGAAAAAAGTATATAAAATGTATATAATTTTATGATTTTTAAAAAAAATATAATAAGAATTAGATAGAACTATATTTTATTAATTTTTAAAAGTCAGGGGTTTGAAATTGCCTAAGTGAGACTCTTTGAATATTATGTTTTTCTTTATGTTTATACTTTAGTCATCATTTAATACATAATTTTATGGGTGGGTAGGATATACTTTAAATTTCCTCATTTAAATTGATTACTATAAGATGTTTAATTTAATGTATATTATGTATTAATTTCAGATCCTTAAAAAATAACAAACTAGATTAATAAAAAAAAGATTTCTGGAACGTTTTCAGCAGTTAAAACCTATCAAGGATCCATATGGGTTTTTATTCGATATGCCAGCATAGGGGAATGCGTCTTAAACGAAACTAAAAAATATTGTAATCAATTATATATTTTATTAATGGATCAAAATTAGTTGGAAATTGATATTAATGTACATGATTTATTAATAGAACTAAACATCTTAATAAATATATTAAGCAGGCCATAAAACGTCCTTTAGAAATCTTAAGCTATTTTTACACTAATAGGCTAAATGAAGCCCTGCCAAATGTATCCAATGTTTTTACGATTATTATAACTATTACACTTACCGTCACATCGGCTGAACACATTTCTCAAAGTTCAAACTAATTTCAACTTATTTAAGATCCTGCATGGCGCAAGACCGCTCGTAAACCTATCTCTAATTTCAATGGAAAATGACATTGCATCGTCGTTAGATAGTACTGACATAATATCCTCTTTTGTAAATAAAAAGACGAGGATAAATGTTTTAACTATTTAAGCCTGTGATTGCATACCCGGTACTTGAACTATATTAATATTTTTAATATGCGTTATTCATATTTATGTTCAAAATTCAATAACTTTACCATATTATTTAATTTTTTTTAATAATGCTAAAAATTCTCAAATGAGATTAGATAAATTATGGTTTTTTAAAGGATTGCCGAAATTAGTTTTTTGCCCTGGGTGGCTAAAAGTTTCGGAATGGCGCTGACGTAATAGGGCATCCTTTCACATAGTGAAAATCATCTTTATATAGAAAAAAATGACTGACTTATCCTGGGTCTGCCAATCAAAGAAACAAATGATTATTTTAAAAAATCGCTATGATGAATTTTTCATTTTAATCAGCTATTTATTAAAATAAATATCATTTGTTTGATTATATTTAAGAAACCCTCTCCTTTTTTTGCCTTTCATATGCCACCCATTTTTTTAAAAAAGCATGCCCCATTCCTATATTATCTCTGGATCTTAAAAGGATATTTTAATTTTTTTTCCTCCATAAATGAAAATAATGAAAAAAATTATACTTCCGATATCTTACCCCTGGCGACCGAAAGCATAATGGCCCCTCTTCCATTTTCACAGGCTCTTTGGTAATTGTATAATGCTAGGCTCGTTTCTGAGGCATCGGGAGTTTCCAAAAATAGCAGTTTATTTTTCTGCATTTTGTTTATCAATCCCTTGGTAAAATGTAAAAATTAATCAAATAATTATTTAATCAGGTGTTCTAATTTAGGCAAAATAAAAAATTTAGCAGTAGTAATATACTACTATTATAACATTATATTTAAAAAAATCGCCACTATCACTTGACAAAAAATTTAATAGCAAAGGAGGCCAAAAAATTTCAGGTCGGCCCGACAACCTATGCAAAAATGTTTTCGAGCCAGATTGGGCTGACATTTTTCAAAATCTTGAATTATGTAAATTTATATTGATTTTTCCTTCATAAAGAATAATTATATACAAGATAATTTGTGTATTTTCAGGTCGGGACAATTAATAACATTAAAAGCCACCATAAACATTTTTATAAATCTTCAAGAGCCAGTTCGGACTGGGCTAATCTTTAATTTTCGTTAAAATGTTTTTACCAGTTCTAACCAAGTTGCCACAACTTTTTCCATGTAGAGATAGCTAGTGAAAAAACAGACTATACCATCGGGTACAATTTCGGATAATTGAACCAGCAAATTACCGTAATTTTGAATAACACCTATATCGTCCCTTGATTCAAATTTCGAGGTTAAAATTGTCTATGAATATGTTAAAATAGTTAATTTAATATTATATTTAAAAAAATATATATAATATATATTCTACAAGGAAAAAGTAAATGCGAACAATTTATTTATTAAACGTAAATAAGATGTCCATCGGCCTCAAAATGTGGCAGATTTAGTCAAATAGCATATGTATTGATTTTATTATAAAATTGGCAATCCTTTATATTTAATTTGCTTTAAAGTGGAATAATAATGAAATTAGAATTTTTTTAAAAAAAAATAAATTAATGATAATGTAAACCTGATCATTTCCTTTGGTTACAATGAGAGGACAAATGCATATTCTAGCGAGAGTCATAGAAAAGGAGGTCATCGATACGGGATGAAAATTCAATATTTTAGGGTACATTTCGATAGGCGAAAGAGTCTAAAAATATGGATTAAGATTATGTATATATATATATATTAAGATACATTATTTTTAGTAGAGTAAAAAAAATGTAATTCTTTCTGACCCCAGAGGTAATTATGACGGTTTGAAAACGTTGGAATACAGGTTTTATAGCTATAGAGGCATCTAAACAAGTAAAATACAGAATGGGATTCAGGACGGTGGGGCTTCTGTCTTGATAGGGTTCGATTATAGTGCTAAATCCTATAACAAATTAATATTGAGAATATAATCAGTTTGAATTGACCCTTTGTATATGTGCTAATAAGTGTTGCAAAGTTAGCTATCGATGTAAGTGGTGATAAATCGGTTAGATCCGGAAATTCTAAAGTATGCATTAGGCTTCTCAATCTTTCGGAGCAAAACCTAGTTAAGAATTTTTCATAATACATATATAAATATGGTTTAGTGACATTTTTTTAAATTTAATACAAATATTAACAAACATTAAACTTCTTAATTTATTAACTAATCTTTCTTGAACTGCTTAATAATCCTTTACAAGTGCAACTAATCACCAGAAAAAAAGTTATAAAACTATAATATGAGCAACAACCTAAATTAAATTATTTTTGCTTTCATAATTTTTTTAATCTACCCTTAAGTTTTATTTGCAAAAAAATACTAACCAAGCTTCAACCCTTAAATAGGTGTGTCAAAGCATATTAAAGAGTATGAAGTAAAAGAGAGAGGACCTCAAGGGTTTTCTGTCGATCCAAACTTTATCATAGCAATCCTTGAGAAAAGAGGCTGAACTTTCTTGCACAACGTGCTGCACCCTGAGCCTGTATTTAATGTATTCTAGCCATCTTTTCATAAATTTGACAAAATGGTCTGCTTTTCTGATGCTACCGGGTACGGATTCTTGCAAAATATCTTGAGATATAACCGGGTCGTTCCACGTATAAATGTCAATCTCTCGATTTTGCAAGGTTTTTTTGAGGCCCTCGACTAGACTCTCGTATTCTTGATTGAGCTTATCGGCGTTCGAGATTTTTAGATCTTCTATGGTTTTATCGAGGACAGTCAGGCCTAATTATTGAATGATTTGGAATAGAATAGAGCCACTTATTATTTTCAAGTCTTCAATGATCCGAAAAAATTTAAATAAAAAAAATTGGTCCTGTCTGACTGACCCTAAATTTTCAGAAGATCGGATCCAGTGCAAACTATTTTTTTGAAAATATGACCAATCAGCCTTAAATTAAGGTCCGATACAAAAAATAAAAAAAAAATTTATGTCTCATTTATTCTTCAAATAAAAAGAAAATTATTATTATTTGGTTAATATATTTAACCCATCAAGTCGCTTTCCATTGAATATTGTTCCGTAAGCAAAACATTTTATTTATTGCAATGGGTCAGTAAATAGTGCATTTAAAAGTTTAAGCCTTTGTTCATACAAAATTTGGGGCCCAATTAGGACGCAACTGCCCCCTACCCCAAGAATGGCCCTGTACCCAGTGTGGGTAGTATCTCGAATATTTGTATTTAAATAACTAAACAGAAATATATTTTTATATTAGTATTTATAAGAGTAGATTTAAATACTAAAAGATATTAAGTATTTTGAATTTACACGATTTCAAATAAATAGAAATACTTTTAGTTTTTTTATATTATATTATGTAAATTTTATATATTAATTTTGCGATACAAAAGGAAAGAATCAGGGTCTTATCTTTTCATCTTATTATACTAAAATGAGCAAAGATACCACTAAAATTGAAACTGGGTAAAAATATTTTTAGAGAATATATAGAGCTAGAAGATATAGATTACAGTTCAACAGAATAAGACATTATGATGTTTGAAAGATATTATAAGTCTTTGGAAGAGCCCCGACATCTCCCACATGTCATTTAACCAAAATGAAAGGTCCTAAAAAATATCTTACAATTAATAAAGTAAATGCACAACGAATTATTCAAAATTGTTTGATATGTTTTCTCTAGGGCTTTAAACCGAACCCAACCGTTATAATTTTTGTACCGTAACCGAACCGTTATAAAGAAAACATAAAAAGAGCGACTGTAATAAATATTTGAAACAAATTTAAAAAATTTAACAATTAAATCGCCATTATCTTCATATCAATTCATTCCAAATTTATTGTTTTTACTTTATATTAATAGATATATTAGGCAAATTACTAGTTAATTAGATAAGTAGTAATCATCATGGTTAAATTAAATAAGGAATTTTAAAATATAAATTATAAAAATTTTTCTCCGAGATTAATATATAAATTAATATGAATTTCTAAAAAAAAACCAGAAATGGAACAAAATCTTTATAAAATTTTAAACTAAAAACCGAAACAAACCGAACCGCTATACACGGTTCGCAGCCCTGGTTTTCTCCATTATTTTAAATTTCGATTGTGATATAATCTAAAATAAAAATATCGGCAAATTTTCACCATATTTTTACTAAATTTTATAAGCTTTTATTTTTCTGGACCACGAACCCTAAACCCGAATCTGGTTCAGAGATATTTTACTGAACCAGAACCCTTCTAGGAGGGTTCACAGCTCTGATTTGCACAACTTTAAGAAAATGATAAATAAAATATTCTCAAGTAAAAAAATTGTTATGTATTATAAAAATATATCTCTAAAAAATATTTAAAAAGGTAATTGGATTTAAATACCTTTTATGAATATTTAGTATTTCTAGGTGTCATTCCATCAAATGTGCAAAAAAATTTGGGCCGTCCTCCTTCGATTTTCTAAATTTGGTAAGCAAAGAAAGGTTAGTACAATTTACAAATAGCCAAAATTTAGCCAGAACATTTCTATTTCTGGAGATATTAGAGTTAGTATGAGGTAGGTATTTTACCATTATCTGCCTTCATTCAATTAAGCATATCTTAAAAACTAAATAACTATAAATAACAAATTTAATATCAAAATTATGCCCAAAGATTATAGTTTTAGATCTCTAGCCATTTTATTTAAAATATAGGAACGAAAACCAATTCTTTGGAAATAATACGACCTTCAATTTTTATAAAATATTTAAGACATGATTAAACTTTTCCTTCATATTTATGAAAGAAAATCTGTAGAACGCGGTGAGCTTCATTCTCAAAATCGATAAAAATTATTAGAAAAGTATATTAATATTTTTACGAAAGGGGACGTCTTTTTATAAAATTTTATATTAATCAGTTTTTAATGGTTTTTCAGATAATTTAAAGGATTATTCATTTTTTAAGTGAAAATAACAATAAATGAGAGTTTCAATCAATATCGATCAATTTATTACCATATTTATAATTTATTATAATTTGCCCATATAACATATATTTAATGATATTAATAAAATAAGTTCAACAAAGTTTAGTTCTTAAATATATAAATTCTTGTGTATTTCATATATAGCACCATAAATAATATCAAATTTTTCGCTATTCTATTTTTTAAAATAATTTGATATTTTTAAAACATATGAAATATTAATTTATTATTATTATTAAATGATGTACAAAATAAAAATGTTATCATAAAATAACTCAAAACAATAAAAATATCGGATCGGATTACTAAAGCCGATTTTCTACTTAGTATCGGAATAGCCCTACTTGTAAATTAAAATAGCAATTGATGACCACCAAAATTTTAAAATAATGATCATTGGATCAAATTTACCCAATTTAACCAAAGATGATATGTTGTCCTTTAAAATATACAAACATATTTTACCCTTAATAATTTGTAATCAGCCTCAACCATTCAGATATGGGCAAACGTAATAATTGTCCAGCAAGACATTTATGCGAACAAATAGAAATTGTTTCGTTCCATGGATATCGAATTTATAACATATAAAAAAGGTTATCAGTAGATAAAACCACTCTTGAAACAATCACCAAGCTAGTACATGAATTTATCAATGCCTTTTTGAAAAAATGGAATCTTTATTACCCCATTCTTTTATTTCAGCTCAACAATCGTTGTATCAAAACCAAATATTTAATTTTATGTGATTTTTCAGAATGAAGTATAAAATTATCATTGGAATATGGCTTAATCCACTGTTCACCCTTTTTCTATTTATTATAAAGATAATTTTTTAATGTTTGTTGCCTGAATCTTTGCAACATAGCACAATAGCAGTATATTATTTACAAAAAACATTAGCAAATTTTTTAATAAATAAATTTTGTATGCCAAATAAAAATTTTTATTATCCTGATTTTTCTGCTGCATAGTATAAAAATCTTAGATATTTTATTAATATTTACCATCATGAAATGGATTTCGGGGTACAAGCGGCACAAGGCAAAAGTGCTTGTGATGAGATTGGTGGCATTGTTAAAAGATTAGCCGCTAGAGCAAGTTTACAAAGACCTTACTTAGAGTAAATAACATCATATGAATTGTCGAATTCGCTAAAGATAATTTTAATGGCATATATTCTGAATATATGACCCAAAAAATTTTAATAACGAAGAACTATTACTCAGAAAGATTTTAAAAACTAGACCGATATCTGGAACACATAAAATTCACACCGTGATTCAAACAGGTCTACATCAATTTAGAAGTAAAATGTATTCGAATTCAATAGAAAGCACTATAGAATGTTTATCATATATTGATGAAATTATAATCTTGGGAGAAATATCAGGACACATAACGTGTGTTTAGGATTCTAATTGGTGGTTAGCCTTTGTTTTAGGGGAAAATCAAAAGCAGGAAGAAATATATACAAAGTTTTTACACCATCTAGACCTTCTAATTTCTTTACATTTCCAAGTTACGACATTCGTTACTTGTCAAGGTATCATATCTTAATATTAGTTCACCTAACTGCTACTGGCTAGTTATGCGTTGTCGTCAGAAGAAAGTAAATGCGTTACCAAAAAATTAGAATCTTTTAAAAGTGAGTTATATATGGGAATTTATATTATACCAATTATTTTTAATATTTAGGGCGCATATATGAAATGCACAAGATTCTGATTTATATATTCAAGAACTCTAAACTTGGTTGAACATATTTTATTAATATCAATTAAATATATGTTATATGCACAAATAATTTTATGATAAATTAAAAATAATGTAATAAATTGAATTTCTTTTATCGATAGACAATTCCTATAATTAATTCATTTATTGTTATTTTCACTTATATAATCCTTTAAATTATATGAAATAGTTCAAGAAAAACCATTAAAAACTGATATATATATGTATATATAATTTAATACAAAAGACACCCTCTTTAGGGAAAATATTTATACACTTTACTAATAATTCTCGATTTTGATGAAGCTGGCCGCTAACCCAAACCGATTTTTAAAAATAAATATAAAGGAAGAGTTTAGTAATGTCTAGTAAATTTTTTATAAAAATTGAAGGTCGTATTATTTCCAAAAAATTATTTTTAGTTCTTATATTAAATAAAATGGCTGGAAATTGAAATATTCAAAAAAATTTTTATCTAAAAGTATAATCTTTATACATGATTTTGATATTAAATTTGTTATTCATAATTATATAGTTTTTAAGATATACTTTATTGAATTAAAAATTATTCTTCATATTATTACAATAATAAAATATATCTAATATAACAAGTCATATATTAAAAATGAGTGTAAATTTTAAAATATCGATGGCTCTAAAAAGAGCTTATAGTAAAAAAGTACCTAAAAAACATGTATAATTATGTTTAAAAATTTCTAATTGTATTTTTTGTTTTAGGAAGGTTGACTCGCGTTTTTCGTTTGTTATGTTAAAAATTTTACGTGCTAAAATTTTTAAAAAAGAATATGTTGATTGGAAGAAATTACCATTAGTTGAGATGACTATGGGTTGAAAAATAAAATTATTTAATATTGAGTATTTATTGATTTTTTTATTTTCGCCATTAGTAAGAGGATTTGAATTAATTGATGAGGGAAAGGAAGAGACACAGGTAGCGTCCCAGATTAGGGATTTCCCATTGGACCAAGGGATGCAGGTTAGACCGTCAGGTCTGAGGCCATCTTGTAGAGAGAGGTTTGTAGGTTCTAGAATGTTAGGAATTTTAGCTTTATTGAGAGCATTATGGATTTTATTTATTGCTTTATGCCGGAGGTGGCGACCTTGGCTATGGGAGCAGTTTAGGCCGTGTCTTGCGTTTGGTTGTACGGGTAGGTTGCAAAGGTGGCAAGTGTGTGAATGTGTTAGCAAGCATCCTAGTCTGAATCCTATGGTAACTCTCAGTTGGTCATTGGTTAAGAGATTATCAAGGGTTAGGCTAGGAAGTGCCTCGAGCCATTCATATCCGCCATATTTATCGTTTAATTGAAGTAGTTGAATATCGCTAATATCGGAGGGGTTAAGATTATTTTGAAGTTTCTTTATAAGGGGTTCCAAGATTGATTTATTAGAAATTTCGGTTGGGATTTGACCGTCTGGGGTTAGTAGATTCCATTTTTCGATTGCTACTGTTAAGAGATCGTCATTGGGAGTTATAAAAGATGAGATCGCGGAATTGAGCGAAAGGCGATTAGAGATAAAAAGAGATAGGGAGAGTAATTCTAAGGGGATTAGGTCGATACCGCCTAGTTTAGCGGGTAATTGAGCAAGGTGCCAATTAAAGTCTGATAGTGGAAGATTAAGGATCCTTTCCATTAAGGTCTTTAAGCGAATATTATGCTTGGTGAAAAATTCTGAGGAGGTAAATGAGGAGGATGAGTGGAAGAGGTGTGAGATTTTAGGTAAATATAGGCACTTTTTTAATAGATAAAAAAGTTGGTGCGATGGGATATGATTGATGAACTTTTCCAAGTTTTGCAACTCGAAGAAGGTTTTATCGATAGTTTTTTCCGAGATTTTATTATTTAGTAGTGGGGAGCCCAAGAGTTGGATATCGTCGATTTCGATAATATTGTAATCTTTAAATGAATCTAGGGGAATCTCGGGGTTGAGTATGCAGATTTCTGTTTTGGTTTTGTTTAATTCTAGGCCTATTTTGGGGCATTCTCTTTCGAGGTGAAAGAGGGCTTTGCTTATTTGGTGTTGGTTACCGCAGAGAGTGCCATCGTCTAGGTACCATAAATTAAGGTCTAGATCAAAATCAGATTTGAGATCTTTCATCATATTATGGATGGCTAAGCAGAAAAGTATAGGGCCTAGGGGGTCGCCCTGCTGAACACCCTCTTCTGAGTATATAACGTAATCATTGGATAATGGTAAAAATGAGAGATGTACCGATATTTTTATAGGATCGGATCGGGCCGATATTTCACCTATTATAAAATATCGGTTATCGGCCAATATAAAATTTGCTGATCCGATCGGATATAAAATGGCTTCTTTAACAAAAATAAAATGTTATAAATTTTTTAAAAAAAATTATATTTAAAATCATCAAATTATTTTAATAATAATAATTAATTAATAAACATTCTGCCATATTGTTATTTTTTGCGCATTCTATTTATAAAAGTGTGCGATAATCTCTTCAGATTTTATTTTTAGTGAAGCTGGTGATATTGATAGTGCCGCAGGCTGATTTCTGGTAAATTGGAAATTTTGGTATTTCTAAAAAGAAATCTTCAATATATTAATGTTAAATATTATTTTTAATATATTTGTTTAATACTTATTATGTATATATATTAATGTTGTTACTTATTATATTAAGGTGATTTAACAATAAAAATATTTTAAATACTTTTAGAATTACAATAGAAATGAATATAAACTATAACTGATCATTATAATATGACATAAGTTATGGTATAATCAAATTATAGTGTTATACTAATAAAAAGTATATTACAAATTAAAACCATTGGTATCTTTACAGAATACAAAATTAGATATGATATCGGATCGGTAATCAACCGATATCAATTTAATATTGGGAATATTGGATTGAATTGGCCTATAAAAAGTGATATCGGTACACCCCTAGTAAAAATACATCATTTTTCCTATTTTGAACTCTATCTCAAAAATAGAAATGTTAAGAGGCTTTTGATTATTTCTTTTGCTTACCAAATTTTAAAAAAATCGAAGGGGATCAACCAATTCGTAGTTTATTTGTCATAAAATAATCCATAACATATTTTTTATTTAAAAAGGTATTTATATTTATAATTTGTGGTGTAATTCGATTTATGTTCAAATACATTAATATAAAATACTGAAAATAATATTATTATAAATGCATACAAAACAATAAATCAGAGAAAGAAACCTCTGTCACATTTGTCCAATAATTTACGAGTCAGTTTAATGCTAAGTGATTCGATACAAACATTGTCTATGTTGTGTGCTTCATCAAAAACAATGACAGATTTCCGGGACATTTCCTTATTTATTAATTCAGCTATTTTGGGATCCAACATGTAATTATAGCTGTATACCACTGCATCAGCATTGTATATGTACTGCCTTACATTAAAAAAAAATCATTTAAAACTTCCATAATATGATCATTTAAAAATGATTTGCTAAAAAAGAAGCAATTTTATTCAATGGAGTCACATTCCATTAAGCAAAAGAATGTGTGTGTATATGTATGATTATAATATATTAAAGGTTTTTTCACAATAAAAATATTTCAGAATTAAAAATACATACAACTGAGTATAAGTTTGTATATGGTTTAAACAATTTTATGATGCTGAAAATTTAATTCAAGAATATAATTATTTAGATTCATATTTTTTAATAAATATTGTTCATTTTAAAAATATGAATACTAAGTAATGATGTTTTGACCTACAAAATTAACAGTTTTGTTTTATCCAAGATAATATAATATATGTATATTGCACCTAGCCATAAAATATGGACACCATTCCTTTTTACCACAAAAATCCTTCAAATCATCAATATTGTAAACACCTTGTGGTATAGAAGCTTTTCTGCCAAATGAATCAAACTTTTCATAATAGTGACAAATGTTTTTATTGTCATTAGTTTTTTGATAATTTAATATAACTGATGGAGCTGTTAAATTGTAACATTTCGCATCAACAATTTTACCATTTCTTTCTTTACTAACCTTTGATTTTCATAAACATTTTGGAATTAAAATTTATAAACTTCAGGATGAATGCAATAATTTTTACGAGATGATAATGCCAAGCCAAAATAATTAATTTCAATGCCACTTCTATGATAATAATCAATTAAGGACTTTAATTCTTCTAAAACCTGAAGAAAAATTATGCCATGCTTTTATGTTCATTAAGAATATAATAAATTTACCTTTTCAATCTCTGGAACAGTTCTTGAGCAATAAATTAACTTATTTACATCATTTGGATGCCTCTAATAACATAAATGTATTAAAATATCACCAAAATCAATACCCTTTGATATGCAACAATAAGTGATAATAAAGATACAGTCTTACCAGTTCCTGATGGCATTTCTAATGCACCATGACCCTTAAATTTGATTATGATTAGTAAATAATTTGTGAGTTACCTTTGCATCAAGAGTTTTTTTCAGCTCCTTCATATAATTATATTGCTCAGGATATATAAATTCGTATGGAAATATAACTTCCAAACCATCTATATCGACTCTATACAAATTATAAAAACAAAAATAAATTTAAATTTAAATACCTCATGTTTCGATAGAATCTACTTCTCTTTTTCTAATTAAAGATTGATGCTATGTTACCTTATCTATTAACTGTCACATTTGACAAACGTATTTGTCAGTGAATTAATATGCTAAATTTAATATCTAATGGAAATAAAATTATGATAAAATTGTAGTAATTTTTTTCACTAACAATATAATTAAATAAAATTTAAAAATTTTATGGCATTAATAATTAAACACTAAATTTAATCAGAGTTGGGCGATATTGCGATTACTTATATCCAACGTCAGGTGCGTCACTAGTTATACAATCTCAGGGAACTCAAAAAAATTTTTATAAATTATTTTCTAAATTAACTTATTTTTGGCTAACATTATCCACAATTACCTTTTTAGCTAACTTACCTATTTATTTTTGGTGGTATTTGTTGCAAGTAGCGATGAAATTTAAACATTTTAAAGAAAAAAATATAAGAACAATAGTTAATAGTCAAATCGAGAGGAATTAATTTTTTTTTGTGTTTAAAAAATGTTGTATTCAAATATGATCATTAGTTTATTTTGTAATTAATATAATATAATTTATAAAGTTAAATTTATTAAAATTGTTTTTTATGATATATTTAATTTGTCTGTAACAGCTTGTATTTTGTAAAATAAGTAATTTAATAAAGGTTAATTATTGGTTAAAAGACATACAATTTTGTTTTAAAAACATTAGTGCCAAAACCGTATGTACTCTGGGCCTACAACTTTAATCTAATTTCTCAGAAAAGAAATTCGAAAAAAAGGGGGAGTGGGGATTTATGAAATGATCATCGACCTTAAGACATGGAATAAGATCAATCAAGATAAATTATATCAATATCCAAGCAAATGGTCGTAAAGAAATGGAAGAGCATACTTTAGTTGTTATAATGGATGTAACACGTGTTCGAAAAAATATATAATTAGTCGTTCTAGTTACAAGAGATCGTTATAACTAAAGTGATCGTTATCCCTACCTTAAATCGTTTTAGCCAAAAGAAATTCGTCAAAAGAGATCGTTATCAAGAGAACGTTATAACTAAAAGAAATTTGTTACAAGAGATAGATATCATTACAAGAAATTTTTTATTATAAGAGATCGTTAAGATACAAGTAGTAGTAATAGTGGGAGATCTTTATTTAGTTATCGTATAAGAGATCTTTATTACAAGAAATCGTTTTCTTTACAAGAAATTGTTATCGTTACAAGAGATTAGTACCGTTAGTATCATGATCAGGATTGTTACAAGAGATCATTATGGTTATAGGAGATCTTTACCATAGACAATTTGACAAAAGAATTATTATGTAGTGGCCTTCGTAATAGATGGGAATAACTCAATCTCTTAGAATCAGTCATCACGTATAGCTAGCGATCCTGTATGGGCTCAGAATGGATTTAGGCATTTCAAAGTAAGATGTGTAGAATATATGTATGGAAAAGAAAGGTTAATTGTAATTAAATGAAACTTTTTATTTGAATATAAAATTTATATGGATAATTGAAATGTTTAAATTGTAAGCATATTAAATGACAATTATATAAAATAATTATTGATTATGTAAATTTTAGTAGCAAAAATATTAAAATCAAAAATGTAATAAAAGAGGTAAGAAAAAGAAAGGAAACTTTTATAATTTTTAGTTTGATTTTTTATTTTTAGTTTGTTTTTATATTATTACGTTTAGTTTATTTAGGTTATTTAGAATTTTTGATTAACTATATATATTAATAAATTAATTTGCCATCTTCAATTCTGGTTCATAGTAATCATTACTTGTTTAAATGGTGCCTGAAGCTGAATCACACATAAAGATTTTCAGGCTAATATACCAATGACCAGTTTGGAACAGCAACAGTTTATCCCACTCCTACTGTCTTGCCTCTAACATTCAAAATTATTGAAATGCTTTTATGATTACCTGTCAATGATATACAGCATAATACTAAATGCAAATCTGGCTATCAATCTTGGCCTTTTAATATCTGGCGAACAGCTGTGTATATACTTAGCTCTTTGTTGAGGTTTTATTGCAGTTTCTTCCATTTAAGTCGATTGTGGTCCATAAATTGGCTCCATTTCTTTGGCTCCATTTCTTTGGCTCCATTTCTTTGGCTCCATTTCTTGCACTACAAGTTCTCCCGCGGACGCCATCTCCGCTATAAAAAACTATTAATAACTTTTACCAAGCTGCCCCCAAATATTTAATATCTCACCCATCCTTGAACCAGTGGGTCTTTTTAATGATGACCCTACCTAATGGCATATCATTCTGGTCGAATGTTCTTCCAGTGATCATGGACTACATGTTCATTGACTTTGCAGTAAAGTTTAACCTCTTATTTTCCGCCATCAAAGGGCCGGCCTCACGAATAGTTTTCATACCAATTCACAAACACATTGAGGATGTTTGAAAATTAGGTTCTCAATTTTATCAAACCCATCGGCAAATAAAGGCGACTCGTTAGGGGATCCTTCCTAATGAAGTTCTACTTATTAGCAGATTTCTTTCGAATTCTGTAGGCACAAACATTCAATCCTCCTTAAAATAATATGTCCCTTTTCTTTTAGTTTTTTAAAATTTATTTAAAATTAAAAAAATTTTTTTTAAATATAATTTTAATATATATTTTTTAATTATATCTATATTTAATTTTCTTTTCCTGTTATATAAATTTAATATTTTATATTATAAATTTTTTAATTATATCTATATTTAATTTTCTTTTCCTATTATATAAATTTTAATATTTTTTTATAATATATATTTTTTAAATCACGCGATTATTTGAAATTTAAAATAATATTTATCATCTATAAAAAAAAATTTAAATTAAAGATATCACCAAATTTTTACGTATATATTTCCTACAAATCTTTAAAAAGTTTAGCATGCATACATAATAAACTTAATTCTAAATTTTTAAAAATCTTATATAAATGTAGAAGAAATAAAAGTTTTTATTGTCCGGACATTTCTATTAAATTGCTATTTTCAAAATTCATTTATAATCATTTTTTGATAGTTTAAAATCAGGACTTCAAAACAAATCACTGAACTACTATAATTTTATGAATCGACTTTTAGCTTTTTCGATTCAACCAACAAAAATAAAAAATAAATTGTCCCTTTTTCTTTTACTTAAGGTTTTATAAATTGAAGATTTTTGTTCAATGTGTTTATGTTTTGAGTACTTTTGTCTGTTTGATAATCGAAATAAAAAGAAAATTTTTAGAAAAAAAATATTTTGATGGAAAAAATTTCACGTGATTAACTTGAGATAAATGACCTATCATATTTGACAAGTGACAGTAAATTAATTCATTAAGATTTTTATATGTCTGCTAACAAATTTTTCAAAATCATACCTAGAGTTCAGAGTGCAACGTCAGGAGCAGGACTAGCACCCGGAACCTACAAAGACACTCTTTATAAAACTCATTTAAAGTCTATACTGCAAAATGGAGTAGGTCGCTATATTTGTCCATTAATGAGAATTACTTTCAAGTTATGCAAAGAATATAAAGACAGTCATGGATTAAGGTTCATATTTCATATAATTATATATTTTTAGAATGTTATTTTAATATATTAATGCCACAACTCAAATCTATGTTCAAATTTATTACAAAATTATTTGATACTAACTAATGTTATAAATTAGCCTATAAATATTTTTGATGAATTTAACAAATCAGAGGACTAGCTAAGGTAGATTTATGATAATATCTTCTTTATAAGTTATCTGGCTGTTTGTTAAAAATATTGCATATTTAATAAGTTGCTCAAAATACATTAAATTACCTTAAAATAAAGAACCAAGCAATCTTATATTTATTAAATCTGGTGGGAGAATGAATTTTATTAAAAACCATTCCTTAGTCATTTTTTTAAAAAAATGGATAGGTTTTGTGCAAAATCTACCCATATTATATAGCAAATCCTCTTATTTGATTTTTTTTATTAGAGATGCTTTGGTTCGATCAGGCTGCTGGTTCTATTAAAATAGCCTGTTTTTTTATAAAATTATTAACCTTTAATAGAGAATCACCAATATTGTTGGGTATTGGTCCAATATTCACATTATCTGATCAGTATTGAATAGTAAAATTTAATCAACTATCATGTTTAAGATTGTTAAAAGCCATATTTAAGTCAATTTTTAAAAACAATTAAGATTTTAACTAAATTAATTTTATGTACTTGAGGTTTAGCAAATAAAGGTTCAAATCTTTCTGCCATCTATGAACAAAATCTCCATGCTTACAAAATATCATTTTGGCTAAAATCTTAATTGTGTCATATTTGAAAATCAGCCTAATGTGATCATTTTAACAACCCAAATTATGCAACACTTTAAAATGGTAACACACTATAAATACTAATTTTAGATGTAGCATTGTAAGTATAAACAAATTTCTAAACTGGTTCGGGAAAATTATATAGGTTTGGATTGTTCTTTTTGGCATTTTGACATATAGATTTGATTCTAGGATAATGGTTTGGTTCAATCCAGGGTATTATGGACAAGACAACTTATACTAACTTCCCAGCCAAGTCAAATAACCTTTATCCCACATTATGTTAGATGTGATATCTGCCTATGCAAAGATTAGTTGAGGAATTTCAACTTTGTTCAACGTTATTTGAGCTTTATTATTTGTCATAGCAAAAACAGGTCTTACGGAAAATTATTAGCCCATAAAAAAGATTATAGGCTTGAGGCAGTTAAAATTAGTTATGTGCTGATCTATAAATTTTTCACTTATCCAATAATACTACAAAACTGGTCCTATATTTATATTTATTTTTCATCTATATTTGAACCAATGTCATAAAATCAATGATTTCTGTTCATATAAAAAATAAACTAACTTCCAATGAAATATCTGTAGGCAAAATTTCCAAGCTTATATAATTTACTTTTATTAACTAAAATTTTGAGTTGACCATTTTTAAAAATCAGTTAAATTAAGCCTTTTAAAAACAATAACTGAATGTGACTTGTTAGATAAGTTTTTTCTCTTGTTGAAGATAATATAACAAAAAATAATATCAAATTTTTAGCTATACTCTTAAATATTTTGATTTTTTTAAACATTATAGATAAATTGAATTTTGGTTCCTCTTCACAATCATAACAATAAAAAAGATTAGATTGGGTTATATCAGCCCGATTCGTAATATTGACACAGCACTAGTTAGAATTAAACCTATTTGAATAAAAATTCTAGTTTCGAGAAAAGTGTATCAACAACAAATTCTGTCTTAATTATATTTGTCTTTCTGCTATTATTGATTATTGCACAAATCAGATGTATAATATAGATCTCGCATTAAAATATTAGGGACTCCAATAAAGATAGCTTAGTGTAAATCAACTTGAAACAGATAGATATAATACTTAAAAATATTTGTTTCAAGTTATAATAGGTCTAGACTTGTCATTCCATAATCAATCACCTTATAACCTGACCATCTCATATTTTGCTAAAATTTGGTGTGGAAGTTAATGAAGTGTTGTAATTGAATCCAAAATATTAGCCCTTAACTCTACTAGAACCGGAGATATATTTATAGGGTCTCAAAATGGCTCTGCTTGGTTATTTTTCAAAAAAAATTATTTTTAAAATTGGGATAACTTTAATATTAGATGCACTATATATTAATGTTATAATAATTAGAATATTATTATTTGTATTAAATAGTGGTTTATATAAATTTGAATATGAATACGAAGAGATTATATCATGTAAATTTTAGTAGTATAAATATAGCGATAAAAAGGTGTAATATCAAGAAAAAAAATTTATTTTTATAAATTTTTATTTTAATTTAATTTTTATAGTAATTAGTAGTTATTTTAGTTTTCTATATTATGTATGCTCTAAATTCTCATTCTATAATATATATCTTAAGTACTCTTCCACATATTTTAAATATAATGAATTTTTAATTTATAAACTTCCTTTAAATTGCGGTCAAAAATTTGTAATTAATTTTTTTAAATGTTAAATAAAAAATTTTTCTTCAAAATTTCAGATATGTAAAGAGTACCAAGAACTGTTCATATAAAAATTTTCAGAGTGGTAAAAAAAAGTTAAGTAGAAAAAATGCTTAAAATAAAAATACTTCTAGATGGCGTTGATATTTAAATAGCTTTAAACTTAATTTTTGAAAATATAAGTCAATCTCTCTTTTTTTACATTCCATAATATAATATTTGTTGAATAAAATCGTATTTTGGCATAAAAATAAAATTTCCGCTAGATAGCAAAAGTAATTATGATTTAAATCCCAATAAATTTCAATTCCAGTTGCCAATTTTTGCAAAATTTATCAATTTTAAAATTATTAATACTATTTAAATTTGAATATCATGATATATAAAAATTCTTTTAATATAAAAAAAACTTTTATCAAAGAAGTTACGCAAAGTAAGTCGGTGGATGACGGAATTTGCCAAAATCAATATTGGCAATTATATATGTGTAGCATGCCGCATAACTTTATATAAATATAAAAAGGAGGGCATTACAAAAATAAATTAATTTTGTTTTTCATATTTCAACAGTTACTAAAAAAAGTTTATATTTAAAATAAAATTCCTATATTTTTGTATATTTATTAAATTTATCATGGTAAACGCAGGGCTGTGAACCAGAACTATCGATATTTTACTGAACCCAATCCCTAATCTTTTTTTAAAATTTAGGCAGGGTTCTATAATTTTTTTAATATTATACTTTTATTTATTTTTAAAAACTATATTAAAAATAACATTTATAAAACGATATTAAAATTAAATATAAAAAACAGATTAAAATCATTTTTTATGGAATCTTTTTATTTTATTTTAGAGTACTCCATTTTATGTAAAAAAATTTTAATGTTACCAGTCCATTTTTTAAGTTTTTATATTAGGTACTAAATATTTTAGAATACTTACTGTTGGTTGTTAGATTATTAAATTAAAAGTAAGACCAAATAAAATAACGAAATCATGAGGTAAAATAGTTTTATTAAATACAAGTTGCAATGCACTTTATTAAGGTTATGATAAAAAAATTGATATTTTAATTTCAAGATCTAGATTTTAAAAGATAACATGATAATTCGCTTATACTATTTAAAAATACAGGATATTATTTTTTAAATTTTATTATTAATTATTATGATAAATTATTTTTATGATGCGTTATAATAGCGAGTTTTTCCTAGTTATATTTTTTGCTTGGTATATTGGGATCTTACTACTTTGTATATCCTGTCATTTGTGATGGGCTACTTTTGCTAGAATGTTTATAATGGTCAATTTATAGTCAGTTTCTATGCCTTTTGAAAATCAACATAAAAATACCATCAATTAAAAAATTAAATTATTTACTTTGGCAACAATAATTAATAGTGTAAAAATTATATTTCATATTTTTAAAAAAAAGTTATTAGATTCATAATATTATGTATTTGATTTTTACTTTTTAGAGAGTACGTTGAAAAAAATTTGGTAGAGTTTGCCCAAACTAATCCCTCAGTTGCAATCTACGTAATGCCACGCAGGCATCGGGCTCCATATATTGTTGCTGAATACTGTAAGATTTTTAAGTCTTTATTTGCTTTAATCTAAAAAAAAATATTTTTAAAAAAGGGAAGAATCTTACTATTTCTGATATTTTTCTTAAATTTGACATAAAATACATGCTAACATACAATTATTTAATTTCTTGTTATATCATTTTATTCAAAGTAACGGGAAATATCGAAAATATGTGCGTTAGAAATTTCACTGCTCAAGATATCCACAAATGGGTAAATTATTTTAAGACCAGTTCTGGTTATCCCGTTGGCCACATTTTAAACGAAACTAAATCCGAAAATACTTCCATCCAAGGTATGTGGAATCCATTTTTGAATAAACCCACTGCTTTCAATATTCAAAATTGGCCTTCCGATGAATTTTCACAGGTCGGTTCTGTTGGAGAAACTGCTACGGAAACTTTATCAAAAATGTAATAAATGTGAAATATAAAATGTGTCAAATTTTTTTTATATATATATAAAGTATATGTAATTATTATTTATTTCTTTTCCTTTATATCGTAAAATGCTTATCGTCTCATTACGAACTTGCAGCGACAAAGCATGAAGTTAACTATTAGGAAAACAATTAATTTGTGTTGTATCTGTCGATTTGTAACAATATATATTTTCAAGAAAAAAAGAAAAACTTTTTTTTCTTTGTTCTAACTTTTAAACATGTGATATGGGTATATAAAGATAATTTAAATTGCATCATATCTGAATTGAGATACAGGCTCTATGATATTATCCTTTAGCCAGACGTCTAACTCATAAGTCATTGCGTCAATCCTGGCATATGGCACTCTCCTAGGAGGTAATGATTCTAAGCACAGCGTCATGCTTCAGGTAAATCTTCACTTACCTGATCATTTTGGGTTTGTTGAAGCGTGTTGACTCAAGGCCTTTTTTCATTGTCGAAATTACTTTCTCGAGATCATCGTCTACGTCACCAACAATGAATGTTTAGAATATATTATTGAAGGTATGGAGCCATACACGTCCTAGCAGGGAGGGGGCACTTATCACTATCCACCACTATGGCCTCCAGATTAGTTTTCTCAAACTTCACGTTAACATTGGCTAAATCTATGATCTTGATAACGCTGCCGTGTTACCCTGTTAGCCTCATATCAGTCTTGCGTGTCGTGGCTATACCTACAGCCTTAGCTGTGTGCCTCTGGTGTCGGTGTCCACTTGCATCACATGGGTATGTCGTTGATGCTCACCATAATGTACGCATTATATCTGATATCATTGACCCCCAGTTTGTTCACCGTCAGATTCTGAAGAGTACTCTTTTACGTCGGTATTTGTGATATCCTTATAATCGATTTCGTCGATGTTCATAGTATAGTTGGTGTTCCATTGAAAGCACAATCTTTGTAATAATAAGATCTGTTATTGGTATAGTTGTCATTGTAATGGATTGCTGTTTTGTGGGTTATATCTATGATGAGCGCTACGTGGTTAGTTGTTTGTATTGTCCTTTCTGTAGTAATCATCCCCTTGATCATAACTTTAACTATGATCACGTTGTACCCGCGATTTTCGTATCGATCATCATGGCTATTGTTCAAACAGTTGCGGTTGTCATGACGATTATCGTAGTGTTGATAGAAACGGGTGTCGCGACGAATATCGTAGCGTTCATCGAAACGATCGTCGCGGCAGCCAAAACGTTGTTCGTGGCGGTTGTCATACATGAGCTCAGGTTGCTTGGTAAAAGCGTCATATTTAACAAGAGAATTATGATGTGCATTAGAGTCCTGTTTGGGTTTTGTGGTTTAGCTCAGTTCATGTAATTGATCTTCTCTTGTATTCCAGATGATTCACCCAAATGTATGGCTTCTACTTTCACCTTGCCCTTGATATCATTTGGCTCCCTGATTTCTTTCACAATACCTAGATTATATATGTTTTCTTTGGTCAAAGAGCTCCTAACCGCTTTTTTGAAATTGTAGCCACTCTGACCTTCTCAATGATGCGTTGAATGCCACCAAATTTGATTCTTTAATGGGCCTCGCTATACGCGTAACCCATGCTGTAAACGTCTCCTCCTTGCCTTTAGTGACTGCAAAGAATACATAGAGGTAACATTCTATGTCTTCGAAGGATGTTCAGGCATGAGTTTGCCAAGAAAAGCGATTGGGTCCTGTAGGTCGCCTCCGTACAGATTGCACCAATGTTGTTAAACATGTCAGATAAATTTCATAAAAAAAAGCGGCCTTTTCCCCAGAACTCTTGCTTGTATCAATGAAATTTTTCAATTTCCTTATGTAGTCATCGCTTCTAAATTTAGTAAAATCCAATTTGACAAATTTGGTCATGGAGGTGGTATAGAATTATTCGATGCATTCATAACATTGTTTGGCCTCAATGAAATATATATGAGAATAGACTGGGATAATAATATGTTTTAATAGATCATTTTATTCAAATATAATAACAATTTCGAGCGTCACATTTTTTTCTCAATTTTCTTTGTACAATCCTTTATGATATTTATTTAATGTTAATATAAAATCATGAAACTATCATTTTACAATGTTAATAATTTTAAATTAGTCGCTCGAAGGGTTACAGAGAAATTATTAATTTAATCTATATTATAAAATAAAAATAATAAAAAATCAGTCCGTAAAGTAACTAATTGGAATATTATTAAGATATAAAATCCTATATAATTTAATTTAAATAATAAAATTTATGTACCATGTATATATTTTTTATGAGTTATACAAAATATTCATCAGAGATAAAAGGGCATATTGTTTGGCCCGTTAAAATGAATAGCTTTAAAAATAAGTTCGATGCTTAAAATTAAATTTATTTAATATAAAAAAAAATAGCATACTAAGTATTGTTATTTCGTATTCGTATAAACCGAGATTAATGGGTTATAATCTCACGATACACTACATTAGTTAGTTCTTGTTTTATCATTGGTCATAATTTTTAGTTTATGAGGAGAATAAAACAGAGATATAGACAAATATAGCTATCCATGTAGAAAAACAATAAGGTAAATAGATTCCAACTTTGTTCAACATTTGTCCCTGAGCTTTATTAATTGTCATGATAAAAGCAGGGCTCACGGGAATTTGCGACGCTTAAAAAAAATTATAAGCCAGAATAAGTTGGAATTAAGCATATTCTAGGAATGAAACTATAAAACTATCAGAAACAAATTCCTCCTCAATTATATTTGGTCCAAAGAGGTTAAGATCAGTTTAATTCCATCGCTCAAGCCAGAAGCAGAATTTAAATAACGCATTAAAATTATAGGTATCCCAACTTTGAGTGAAAGATTGTGGGGTGGTAACCCTGATATATTTAAAGAGTTTAAAAATTTTAAATTATATCCCATTAGAATTGAATATTGAGTTGAATTTAGAATAAAATGATTTAAAGAAAATATTTATGATTAAAATACATATAGATAATTTGTTTCAATATAATATGATTTACTTCAAATCTGCACACTATAATTAAAATTTCGTATGACCCGTTAGAATTGAATTTATTTGAATACTGTTAATTAAATGATTGAAGATATTTATATTTTTATTATTTTTTTTGAAATCGATAAAAATAAATAAATACATAACGAAGACATGAAGCCACGAATGACGTAACGAGGACATCGAAAAATTTTAATATAGATAATTTGATGTCAAATATTTTATCATACTTGAATTTATCCTATAATATATCAATACTAGATATATGAAATTGGAGACTTTTAGTAAAATATATTGAAATGAATTTGCAAATATAGCCGTAACTCAATTTCTAATATAAAAGGTAGATTAATAAGAATGAAATAAATAGTCAAGCTATGGTATATAATAAAATAATTTATAGCCGTAACTCAATTTCTAATATAAAAGGTAGATTAATAAGAATGAAATAAATAGTCAAGCTATTGTAAATAAAAGGATATAGAAAATTCATTGATTATCAATGACTTGAAGGAAATATAGGTGGGCTGACTGTGGTAAAAATTTACATCATAGGTTAAAATTTAATACATGTTTATTACTTTATGTTAGCAAAATCAAAGGAGGGTAGATAAGTTATTTGCTTTAATTATAAAGTTAAAACATAATTTGTTTTAGAATTTGATATTTTTATTTTTCATTAAAGAAATAATTTTTGTTTTTAATTTGTTATAATGATAACAGATTCAATTCATAAGGTAGAAATAGAAAACCTAATATGGGATAATATATATCCACATATATATATATTAATTATATAATGACTTATATAGGTTTCGTCAAAATGAATTCCTTTATACTTCCCTTATATTTGCTCCAATAATATTCGCCACTTTTTAGTAACTACATCTTTGCATTATAACTAATCTTAATAATATTTTATACAGATCCATTTTTTGTACTTTAAAATTACTAGTAGAAAGCCCGTTAAAAATGAGGGGAATCAGATTTTTATTCATTTTTTTACGGTAGATGTCATGCCAGATCCAAGCTCACAATATTAGGAAGCATATAATTATTAAAAAGTTTATCCAGCCTAGCTCAACCCTTAATAATTTGTTAAAGATATTTCCATGTCAGGTGCAAGCTAATATAAATTTTGAGGTTCCAAGCCCAATCGTATCCAATATAATTTTGAAAATTTTTTCCCACCTCGGAGATAGTTAAATTTTTAATTGATTTAACATCATATGAAGAGGAATTATCTGATTTACCAATTAGTTTAAGATGTAAAAAAAAACATGTGAATTCCGTATTAAGGGAAACTGGGAAGGCCTGGGCAAACCACTTATTAGAGAATCATGACAAATAAAATAAAAATAACCGACTCTTATAGTTTTTGGTAATATGATCAATTATAATTATATATAAAAATAAATTGTTGTTTATTACATAGGGTTATTGTAGCTTTTCGGATTAATTTAATGTTAAAGGCCACGACAGAAATACTGCATATTTTTCCATTAATAAAGTTGATGAAATTGGCCGTACTGTACATTCAAGTTTGAACATTCCTCTAAATATTCATGAAAGTTTCTCAGAGAATCAGATAAAGTAATATTTATTTTAACTCCTAGTGAAGTGAATGATAGAACGGAATTAAATGCTTATATTTGTTAAAAAAAATAGGCAGAGGTGGCATAGGGATTGTGATAGTGGTGAAAGAAATATCATTTGGAGAACTGGGTGAAAATAAAATAAACATAGATATTAAACATAAGATAAAAAAAACAAAATAAACCTCCAGAGGAGTTCATTTCAAGCGTGGTTCTTTATTATTTTGGCTACCAGTAACTCTAGAACGGGTAAGGCGTTTGTTTAATCGTCATTATTTTATTTGCTTATCTTTAATAATAGATTCATCATGTTTTGTGCAATGTGTGGGATTAAGGTTGGAATAGCCTAGACAAATAAAGAAATCAGGCAATAATATAAATAAACTATTGTTGAAATTAAACAAACATTAAAATAATGTAAACCAGTAGATGTGTCAATATTAAATGCATATTTTTAGTAGTTGAAGGGCTATCATAAAAAAAAATTTTGGGGGACTTATCAAGCCTATTATGATATTCTAAAGGTTTATTTTGCATTTGCTCATTATTAATGGCTGATATATCAATATTTGAACAATTATAAAGAGGAAATAAAATGGGGATAGTTTTCTAAAGTAAAAAAAAAATTCTCAAGTTAATTTTATAAGGTAGGATTAAAATAAAATACCAGTTGGCAAAATTAAAAAAAAATAGGATCTTTGAGAATAGGTATAGAATAATTTAAATAATATATTAATACCGTAATATGTATTTTTTTTGGAATAAATATAAAATCCTAAAAATAGAAAACTCCGTGTAGTATTTTTTATTGAAGGAATAAAAAGGAGTATTGTTTAAAAAGGTAGGATCCCTAAGAATAAATATATAATTTAATTGAATAAAAATAAATATTGTAATATATATTGATTTTTTGGAATAGATATAAAATTATTATATAAAATTATTTATAAAAAAAATAAAAATAATGTACTATGTTTATTTTTTTTAGCATTTTACAAAATATTCATCAGTGATAATAGAGCAATGGTGGATCCGATAAAATGGTAAGCTTTTAAAAAAGTAGGATCCTTAAAAATATTTATATTAATATAGTTAAATATTAAAAATGTACTTTGTATATTTTTCAGTTAGTTAGACAAAATATTCATCAGAGATAAAAGGGCATATTGTGCATCCCGACAAACTGGATAGCCTTAAAAATACGTAGGATGCTTAAAATAATATAAATTTATTTAAATTATAAAAAAATAATCGATTTTTTGGAATAGATATAAAATCATATATAAAATTATTTATAATAAAAATAATGTACTACTATGTATATTTTTTTGTGCGTTATGCAAAATAATCAGCAGGAGCAATGGTGGATCCGACAAAATGGTAAGCTTTTAAAAAAGTAGGATCCTTAAAAATTGTTATATTAATTTAGTTAAATATTAAAAATGTACTTTGTATATTTTTCTGTTAGTTAGACAAAATATTCATCAGAGATAACAGGTCATATTGTGCGGCCCAAAAAAATTGATAGCCTTAAAAATACGCAAAATATTCATCTGAGATAACAGGTCATATTGTGCGGCCCAAAAAAATTGATAGCCTTAAAAATACGTAGGATGCTTAAAATAATATAAATTTAATTAAATTATAAAAAAGTAATCGATTTTTTGGAATAGATATAAAATCATATATATAATTATTTATAATAAAAATAATGTACTATGTATATTTTTTGTGCTTTATACAAAATAATCAGCAGCGATAATAGAGCAATGGTGGATCCGACAAAATGGTAAGCTTTTAAAAAAGTAGGATCCTTAAAAATTGTTATATTAATTTAGTTAATTATTAAAATTAATATACTTTGTATATTTTTCAGTTAGTTAGACAAAATATTCATCAGAGATAAAAGGGAATATTGTGCGGCCCCACAAAATGGATAGCTTTAAAAATACATAGGATGCTTAAATAATATAAATTTGTTTAAATTATAAAATAATGTCATACTAAGTAAATTCTAACAATTTATTTTTTATAATGCTTAATGATTTTTATACTTTTTTTGTACTATGATCAAGGTTATAATTGTATTTTGATTTTATAAATTTACAAAATGCTTTTATAAATATATATTATTTAAAAATAAATTATGACTGTTGGTATTTTATTGAGTAAATGTATAAAATATTAATGATGATATGAATAATTTGTAATATTTTGTAAAAAAGATATATTTAATGTATTACTTTGACATCTAATACTCATGAATATTGTAGTAATATAATGATATAATGAAAATATTATATGCATTTATAACTATTTTCACTAATGGCAGCTTCTCGAGTAATAATGCTTAATGATTTTTATACATTTTTTGTACTATTGAGAAAAATTTCCAAGCATCCATGATCTTAATAATTTTAAAAAATTTACTCAAGCCCACCTCAATCCCTAATAATTTTGAAAACCAAGCCAATATTAATTTTGAGAAATAATTTTTAAGCCTAGTCCAACCCAAAAATAATTTTGAAAAAATTTTCCCAAGCCTGGAGATATTAAATTTATAATTAAGTCCAGTCCAACTCTTAATAATTTTGAAAAAATTTTCCCAAGCCTGGAGATATTAAATTTATAATTAATGAATGAGAAATCTCTGATTTACCAATTAATCTATGAGTTATTACTGTTCTGGGACAATATTACAAACATACATGAAAATATAATATTATAAAAAAAGACTGTTAAAATATAAAATGGAAAATACACAAAGAATCATGAGAAAATCAGGTCTGCTCTAATATTATTATAAGAAATAACAAATATTACCTCGTATTATTGGAGATAATTCCAAAAATTAAGTTATGGGAAAAAAATCTCTGATGTACAAGTTAAATTGAATTTCTATATAAAATATTAATAATTTGTAATATTTTGAAATAGATATTTATTTAATGAATTACTTTGACATCCAATGTAAAATTTTGTAATGATAAATTATAAGAATATTTATGGTTTAAATATGGATCTTACAGTTGCATAGAAAACTTAAGTTATAGGATCATCTGTTTGTTTAGAAAATATATAATAAGTTGTAATATTTTGTAATATTTTGTAAATAGATATATTTAATGTAATATTTTGATATCCAATACTTGCATAGGTTGAAAAATTTGGTGATGATAAATTATAAGAATATTTAAGGTTTTAATATGACATCCTACAGTTGCATAGAAAACTTAAGTTATAGGATCATCTGTTTGTATAGAAAAAATAAAATCAACAAATAAAAAAAAATAAATTAATATGTACCGATGACATGACGTAGCGATGACATAGCGTAGCGATGACATGACGTAGCGATGACATGACGTAGCGATGACATGACGTAGCAATGACATGACGTAGCGATGACATGACGTAGCGATGACATGACGTCACGATGACGTAGTGAGGACATTGGAAAATTATAATATAGATTAATAATAGTATATCTTTTAGACTTACAAAGAATCAAGATTTTCATTTTAAAAGAAATTAGTAGAAGGAAAAATGTATTATACATATTTACTATTAACATTTTAAGAATTTTCTTTAAGATATTTATGCCGTTTGGGCATGGTCTAGAGACTCCTTAAGCCAATGAGGAGGAGTCCTCTTTAGGTAGACCAGTATTTTAAAAATTTTAATGTCTTCATTTTTGCTTATAAAAAATTAACTATTATGATTTTCTAAAATTTTTAAATAATTTAGATTGACTTATTTGAATCATGTAATTTAACATACGTTTTTTAAATTTTCTATAACAATTTTTTAAATTAAATACTATTGATCCTAAAGAGCAGCTAAAACTTGAGTGCATAGATATTCTAGATATATCAATTTATTCATTTAAATTTCGTAATTTTTTACAAAAAAAAATTTAGAATTTACTAATTTATTCTCCTAGTTGATATATTTAATATCATCCGTTTAATGGAAGTCGAGTAATTGATTATATTAATAATGTGTTATTTATAATAATATTAGCCAAGTTAAAATTCCCACCGTCCCTGAGACTTTATTAAAGAAACGAAAGAGATATGATGAACAAAAAGCGAAGAGAATAAAGTCTTTACTATTGGAAAAGAATGTATACTTGATTTCTTATTTAAAATTCATTTATATTTAAGAAAGCAAAAAGTCTGAAATTAAGTGCATTCAAAAGGGCAGAAAAATATACTAAAGAATATAGGATCCAGAAAAAGCAATTGCATGCATTAAAGAAGACTGCCAAAGCTGGGAAAAATTTTTATGTTCCAGATGAACCTAAAGTTGCTATTGTAATAAGAATTAGAGGGTAAATTATATATTGAATCTTATATATATCTTTTACTTATATTTTAGTATTAACAAAGTCAATCCAAAAGTTAAAAAAATATTGCAACTTTTACGTCTAAGGCAAATTAATAATGCAGTTTTTATTAAAATAAACAAAGCCACCTTAAATATGCTGAAAATAGCAGAGCCAATGATAACCTGGGGGTATTTAAAAATTAGAAAATTTAAATAACCATTTCTAGCTATCCAAATTTAAAGACCATTAGAAGCCTTATATATAAAAGAGGTTTTGCAAAGATCAATAAACAAAGATATCCTCTAACAAATAATGCAATGATTGAGAAGCAACTTGGTTTATAATATTAAAATAATATTTTTAAATGTTTTATAGGTAGAAAAGATATTATATGTATGGAAGATCTTGTCCATCAAATATTTAAAGTTGGAGAAAATTTTAAATTAGTATCAAACTTTCTGTGGGTCTTTAAGCTAAAGAATCCTAAAGGTGGGTGGAGAAGAAAAAATAATCACTATGTTGAAGGTGGTGATTTTGGAAATAGGGAAGATTTGATAAATAATCTTTTAATGAAAATGATATGAATATATTTTATGTCAATTATATTGGGAAAAATGAATTAAAGTATGTAGCAAAGTCTTTTTAATATTTGGCCGTTATATTTGATTTAAAACATGTCATAATTTAAAAAATATAGATTTAAATCAAATTTTTTGAATTATATTATGTATACCTTTTGAATATTTTTTAATAGTTCCATAAGGTTTGATAAAATATTATTTATTGATTTTTTTCCAAATTTACCTATCCTTTTTATTTTTACATCACATTTTCCAAAGATGACCCAAATCTATTTGACTACTTGTTATGCTGGTTTTACTAAATTATAAAAGTATCAAAGCCACATCGATTATCATATTTAAAAATAATATTAAAAAATTGGAATTACATTCTGCCAATATTGTGTTTTGTTTAAATCTATATTAAAAATTAGGGCTGATATTTAATATCAGATTGGATTGGCACCAATATTTAGCATTTTCATAAAAAAACTGATATGATCTTTTTACTTTTATTATTCAAAAGATTTTTTATAAAAATGAAGATTTTAGATCTTTTTTAAAAAATTCTAAATTTATTTTATTTTAAAACAATGGAAATGCACAATAATCCCTAAATTTTATTTATTTAAATTGAAAATCAAAGAGAAACTTGTAACAAAAAAACAATTGAAATTGATAGTAATGTAGATGAACTGCCATACTTATTAGAAATCAAGGAATATTTAAAAGAATCCTTATATCTACATGGTATAATAACATATTTTTCATTTTATCTAGTGTGCTTGGTTGGGTTATCAAATCTAACAAAAGGTTGGTATTATATGGAATCCACTATTTTTAAAATGCAAATTTTATGTCTGTTTATTTAGATAACTAATAACATTGTATATCCCTCGGATCCATTTAAGAATTAGTCCTGAGAAATATCCAACTTTGTCAACACTTGCATTTAAATCCCCCCCCCCCCTGCAACAAGTATGGGAGGGGATATAGATATATAGTCCACATTGCAAAAGCTTATTGCCAGAAAAATAAATAAGAGGTTTTCATATTTATTTTAAAAAATCTAATATTGTAATTTTTTATATAAAATATTACAATTTTATAATCCTTACCAATATATATATGTGCCATTCAATGTGAAAACGATCAAAAAAGACACATTTTCGGCCGACCCCTTTTAAAATTGTTAAAAATTTCTGGAATTATTTAGATAGGTAAATAAATGAGAAAGCCTTTTACTTTTATTTTAGCTCGCGAACACACCTGGTTCCCGAGATATAGGGGCTCAAAAGAGCCACTTTTGAATCTGTAAAATTTTTAAAATGCTTATAACTCAAAAACTATATATAGTAAAAAAAAAATATCAAATTGTAGGAAAAATCTCTAAAGGGCTATCAAAAAATATCCAAAATTGGCGCCGATTTGAGCCTTTAAATTCCGGTTTACCCATATAGGAGTTTTCAAGAGAATTTGCCATAAAGCTTGAGGCAGAGGAAAAAGTGTTTTTGGTATAACCAAAATTGTATATTTGAGTCATCAAACAAATGGGGTTGAAGTGAAAAAAATATTAAAATCAGCCAAAAAGTAAGTCTGAAGTGCGGTCATTTTTTGGCATGGTTAGTTACTATGATTGTTTTTGGAGAATTCTGCAAATGTTGCATCACCATTGTATAATTTATTACATTTTGAGTGGAAAATTGAACAACAAAGTCCTTTTAAAATATTAAAGAAAAAAATTGACTAAAACCGATTTTAGTGTTATAATGATTTATAAATAATCTTGGCGGTAGATGCTTCTAATAAAGGTGTGGAAGGCGCATTATAACATCTAATTGATGGGTTAGAGACCAATTTTATTTTTTTTGTAAGAATTTTTCATGTAGAAACTCGGTATTCTGTTTTGAATAGAAAGTCAGCTGGTATTTTTGGCTTAACTAAGTGTGAATATTTTATTGGTAAATGATTCGTGATCATAAGACATAAATTCATTTGTTTAAAAAAGATAAAGAATTAATGATGTCCCCCAGATTATAACCCTTGTTACTTGTGGGATGTTTCAATTTAGAAATTAGATATGAGCGAGGGAAAGAGAATCACTTGCCAGATATATTGTCCAGGAAGATAATAAAATTATAGATAATGCGTTAATTTGTACTTTATTCTATATGTTAAAGGAAGGTCATACTACTTGGGAAGTTTTTAAATAAAATACTTTGAAAGACAAGGATTTAAGTCAGATAGAATTATGTTTAATGGGTGTAAGAAATTGGAAATATAAAAAGAATTCTCAATGGTGTGTTGTACGTGGAAAGTTTTATATCATATAAATTGCGCGATAAGATTTTATGTTTATTATATGCCGATCATTAAGGATGGGCGCGTGAATATGTTTGGAGGCTTGGTATGAACATGGAAATTACAAATAAATGTGTTTCATGTAATATCTGTACTTCCATGCCTAAAGAAGTGGCCAAAGTCAAGTCAACCATGGAAGCGTGTCCACATTGATTTGGATAAAAAAACGTATTTTTAATTATGGATTTATAATCTAAGTGGACTGAATATGAAGAAGTTCATTTAACGACCAAGATTGTCATTAAAGGATTACAAAAATTGTGCCCCAAATTTGGGATTCCAAGAATCATTGTGTCTGACATGGGTCCAGCCTTTATAAGTAAAAATTTTAGACATTTTTGAACTTCGTCACAAATAAACAAATGTTGGCTCAATTATATTCTAGCTCTAATGGTCAGGCTGAAAGGATGGTAGCCAGAGTGATAAATTGAATTAAAAAGGCCAGATAAGAACAAGGTGATGTTTGGACTAATTTATATTATAATAATTCCAGGAACCGTGAAGGTGTAACGTTGATAAATTATTTTTGGGTCGAAGGACCGGAGTGCCTTAGAAAAATCAAAAGGCAATGCTATCATATCACCATGTGAAATAATAAACATGAAATTTCGAGTATTGAATGGGCTCGTTTATTCGATAATAAGAATAAAAAATGTGAAAAGGGTAATATAATAGAAAATGTGGGTGCGATCGCAGCTTAGCGTTCGAGGATAGAACAATTGTGATCCGCACATTGACCACATTAAAATAAGGGAATATTAATGAATGAGAAATTATTATTAGATATATAAAAAATCGTTGTCTTAATTAAAATGATCGTTGTGGAACATTTCTTAATTAACTTAAATGATCGATGAGGAATATAGTTTAAGCAGTGGCGTAGCTACGGGTGTGGTTTTCAGGTTTGGACCCCTCCCAGAGCAAAAATTTTTTTTTAGATTATACGTTCAAAAGACTTAAAAGTGAGTTAATATCAAATAAATATTTATATTTTTCTGGTTTTGATGTTTGTGGAAGATATAATTATGATTTGTAAGATCGGCCAAAAGTGCCTAAGGCCGTTAAAGGGAGTCTGGGGGCGAAGTCCCCCAGGCTTTTATATGTATGGACCCCCTCTAAGGAAAATTTTAAACTACGCCACTGAGTTTAAGTAACTGTAATAAACATTTATAAAATTTTTATATACATACCCTGTGCGCCGACGAAACTATCGGTGGCCGGCGAGCAGATTTTTAAAACTGTCAATAAATCAGAGCAGTTATAAATTTTTTTAATTGCTTAAAAAATTTTTTTTAAAAAAATAAAATATAAACAACACTACAGATATCTCGGAATATTTTTTAATCTTTAAAATCCATAAATCGATTTCTTAATTTTTTAATTATCATGTATAAAAATTATTTTATTTAAATATTCGGGACATAATGATGATATCCTTGAATTCAACGGCAACCCAGCAGTAGAAAAGACTTTTTCACTGGGTATGGTAGTCACCGGAATACCAAGAATTTTTTTAGCGAGCCTGGATAGATTAAGAAGTTCACTCCTCTTTTCTTTCCGAAAATTTAGACCATTATGTGGTTTTCCAACAAGAATGTCAGTCTTCTAGCATGGAATCATAATTTGTATTTGTTGAATGTTTATTTGCCAATTTTGTCAAAAACTTGAATTTAATAATTCCTCTTGATCCTCAATAGCTAAGTTTACTAGCTGAATATCATCATTCTCTATATTATTTAAGATGTTTTATTATAAATTCCGAAGCTGAGCAATTTTGCTCTATTCTATATCTTGACACAATTCAATTTTTAAAACCTTGAATCTAAAAGAGAAGCCAATACATAGATAATTTTTTAAATAAAAAATTAATTAAATAAATGAATATACCAGTGACGAAGCTTTTTGAAATTTTTCCTATAAAATTCTTTAACAAACTTAATATAATCTTTATAATATGTTAAAAAAAACTAATTTGACTTGGTTAAAAAAAATTAATATAAATTAAAAATATTAATATTATTTTTACTATGTTAAGAAGAATTACTATTATTTTTACTACATTAAAAATTTACTATTATTTTTACACGTTATATTATATTTACTACGTTAAAATAAAAATATACATGAGGGAAGCAAATTTACGATTGCTTATTTTTTTAATAAATAAACAAGAAATTTTTTTTAATATTATTTTTTTCTTCCTTACTTTTTTTTAAATAAAAATTTTTTCTTTTTTAAAATCAATAATTATTGTTTATTTGTAATTATATCGGTGGGTCTATTTATCGCTCGGCTAACCACATAATAAATCATTTATTACTAAATATCGCTCGGCTAGTAAATGTCGCTCGACAAACCACATAAATTATTTATTACTAAATATCGCTCGACTGGGAAATATCGCTCGGCTAACCACATAATAAATCATTTATTACTAAATATCGCTCGATTGGGAAATGTGGCTCGGCTAACCACATAATTAATCATATCCGCTAGATGGCGTCCTAAAATTTTTTATTATAAAATTTAAAAATAATATTTTTGAATTTTAAAAATAATATTTTTGAATGTGTTTAATAAATTTCGCCATATTCTATCATGATGACTAAAATATTTATGATTTTTTTTATAGCATTATCTATATTTTGGTAAAAAATTAGTAGTCTTTATTAAATTTTGCAATTTTTATTAATCAGATAAATTAATAACGATGGAATTTGTTCGG